GTTATTGTTATGAGTATCTTGGGGATGAGACTATGGGATTTATACCGGGGATCGTATATGTTGGGTTATGATTATTAATTGTGCTTATCTTATCTGTTTTGCCTATTGTAAACTGTATATGCTTGGTATAACTGCTATCTGTGTTTAGCCCTATCTATTGAGTCTATCCCTGTTTCAAAAGCTAGAGTTCGTAGGAGATATCTTCATGTTCAAAATGGTTTTCGTATATCTACATATATATATATATATATATATATATATATATATATATATATATATATATATATATATATATATATATATATATATATGTGTGTGTGTGTGTGTGTGTGTGTGTGTGTGTGTGTGTGTGTGTGTGTATGTATTGTATTTCAACGCGTTGGAGTGGGTTACCAGCATCTCTCGCTGAACAGATATATTTGGCTTTCAGGCACAGACATGTAGATCACTGGAGCGCGCTAGAAGCTTGGGCGTAGCTTAGATAGTTTTCCCTTTCGGCCTGCGTGCCATGATTTAGTATTGATACTGATTGAGGATATTAGTTAGTTAGCCTGTGCATCTGAGTTCTCTAGCTCAGGTGTGGCATAGCACCCCGTACTCTGGTATTATTTTTTGGTATTTAATGAGATTTCACCTTTATTTTACAAGTTTTAAATATCTTGAAAATCTGGGGTGTTACAAATTAATCCTATTTTATTTGAAGAATTAATTCCTAAAATCCTGATTTTTAATACTCAAGGACTAGAATTTTACTAGTCAACCTTAAAGTTGTGTTGTACCTTGAGCTTTGAGGGGAGTTCCCTTGTTCCTTACACTTTCTAAGGGTTAGTAAGGGTATTCTTGTATTTTCACCAAGAGTTAGTATTGTAACCTAACCTAGAAGACTTCTTCATTTCATTCCCTACAATTCTTAGAAATTAGTTCTACCTTCTCTCTAGAAAAGAAGTGTAGCTTATTCTCAAAGCCAAGTTGAGACCCTTGTCAAGATTCCAAGATTTGCTTCCAAGATTCAACCTTTTACCTATTTGAGCATCTAGGAGGGTAAGATCTAAGTTCATCTTGTGTTTTTGGTTCCATCTTAGTTGTCTTTTTCTTAAAGGTAGGATCTTTATGATCTTTTGGTTTAATCTTGAAGTGGGTTTGGAAAGTAAGCCTTGTGGAGAGCTTGTTGTGGTGTAAAGTGAAGTCTTTTGGTCTACAAGAGGTAACCCATGCTCTACATAACCTATTTTGCTTACCTATATGTGATTTCATGGATTCTACATGTGTTTTGCTATGAAATGTGAGGGTTTATGCATTTGTCATGGATTCTAGAGCTTGTGTTTAGGGTTCCTTTGTGCCATTGCTTGGCTTTTTCCATGATTCAAGTCATTTTGTTATATTGGGTGAGATTTGGCATGTTTTGGACTAGAATTTGTGTTTGGAGATGAAAATCCCCGAAGGTATCTTTTTGCACAGGAGTATGGACCCGCGGGCGGAACGGCGGGGAGAGCCCTACCCGCCGCCCACCCGCAGGTACAGAGGCTTGTGGGTAGTGTACCCGCGGGCGGAACCACGGGTAGGGTCTACCCGTGGGTCCACCCGTGGGGAACACAATGTTGTTGAGATGGGATTTGTTCCCCGTGATTTGTTTGACTCGGTATTTGGTCTTTTGACTTCCCGATGTTCTTTTGTGGAACTATTTGAGTGTCTTCTTGATGTTTCGAATGTCTAGAACTATATGATAGGTATCCATGTAGGACTTTGGTGTCTTGAATCGTGCTAAGTGTTCAACATTGTGTTTCGTTGGACCAAGAGTTGTCTTGTGTGTTCCTCGGAACTAACTTGAGTTTCCCCGTTGATAAGCATGCTAGTTTGTTGTCTAAATGCTAGCGTGTGTGTGGTTTGTACCTTCCATTTGGTTGATGATAACTTGTGTTATCCATCGTTGTTGTTGTTGGGTTGTGACCCGTTCCTTGATTGAATATGTTTCATACCTTCGTTGTGATCCGTTGTTTGACTCTTGTTGAGTTGTGGTGCGTGTGTGGCTTTACCTCGAATGCACGATTAGTGGTATGGGACAATAGTCACCAAGATATTGCAGCGGTCCTCATGGTGGTCGTGACGTGAACATGGAGTTGTGGCATGAGTGATGGGTCCACGTTTTTGGGGGATAACATGTGTTATCCGGGCATGTGTTGCCGTGAATTGGTGGTCTCGTTGGTGGTGGTTGGTGGGGGACGACGGTTTCGGGGAATAAGGTTGGACTAAGAAGTACAGGGGTCCTGGAGGTAATGGTTGGAAAGAAGATACAAGGTTGGGGGTAGCCATATGGTTGGAACCGGTCATAAGGAAGGCATACCAACTCGTGATGAGTGATGTTGCGAGGGCTTGTAAAGTCGGCGTTGTGTGTTCTTCTCTCGTGACGTGTGTAGTCACGGAGGTATGTGTTGCTTTGGCATGTGTTCTCGTTGGGTGAGTCTTTATCCTTTGCGTGTGGTTAACCTTTGTGGTTTGGGATGTGTTCCCGTGTTATCTTTGAGAGTGATGAGTCCTGTGTTGACTGTTGATCTTGGTTTTGACTTATATATATATATATATATATATATATATATATATATATATATATATATATATATATATATATATATATATATATATATATATATATTCCGTTTCGAAAATGGTTTTTATGACTTATATCTATCTACATATGATACTTAACGGTATTGGTGGGTTACCAGCATTATTCGCTGACCGGGCGTCGTCCCAATGTTTATCTTTGTATCTTTCAGGTGATGTTTAGACGAGCGCGATGTCTAGTGCCTGGTAGCTTAGTGCCTTCATCCCTGTTTTGTGGCCTGTGTGCCCATGTAGTTGTAGACTGATGTTTTGGGTTAGATGTATACACTTGCAGATTGTTTGCCGTAGCGTTTATCGTGTTTGGTAGACGTGGCGTGACACCCCGTTCGGATTCCTTTTATCCAGTTTCCATTTTATCTTCCGCTGTGCTAGTTTTGTTGTTTAATCTGCATGTGTTAAGGCTTTTATATAGGTCTTGTTTGGGGGGTGTTACAGTTGGTATCAGAGCCTAGGTTTGAGCCTAGGAAGGGTTAAGTCTAGACTTTCTAAGTGGTTAAGTGTGTTTTGAGACCTCTAAGCGACCTTAAGAAGCTAAGTGTTAGGCTTTGGACTCTAGGTTGCACGGTGAGCTGTGTGTTGCTTTCTGTCTTGCTTGTTTGCTCTTTTTGTTAACCTCGTTGTTGTAGCAGAAGTCTGTGATGCCTCCTCGCCAGCGTATCACAACGTTTGAAGACGTGAGTGAAGTGGTTAAGAAATCTCGGTTGGCCGAATCTAGCAATGCTTCTGGGGTGATTGAATGATGGATCCGGAGTGGTACGTCCACAAGAGTAAGTCCTAGTGCAGCTACCTTGCCAGCATTCCGAGATATAAGAGGGCATGGGAGGATAGAGGTTCACCATCCAGCGGAAGGGCCATCCCAAGAGAGGGTGCTTACCTTAAGTGAAGTTCGAACAAGTGACAGTGACGTAGTAGTGGGAACCTTCCTTGTGCAATCCGTGCCAGCAACAGTCTTGTTTGATTCAGGAGCGTCTAACTCGTTCGTATCACCCGGACTCGTGAAGAAGTTGGGCTTATCTGGGGGCACGGGAGTGAGGTTTAACGTGAAGGTAGCATCGGGAGAAGTTAGGATGTGTGACCGTCTTTTTGAGGGCATCAGGATCAACATCAAGGGAGAAGAGTTCCCTAGCGAGCTAATCCAGTACGACTTGGATGGGATGGATGTGGTCTTAGGTATGGACTGGTTGGGGCGGTTTAGAGCCCAAATCTTGTGCAAAGATCAGAAGGTGGTGTTACGGGGACCCAGTGGGAAAAGGGTATCATATCGGGGAAAGATGGAAGAACCCGGGATTAAGCTAGTGTCTATGACAAAGATGAAGAGGTATATGGATAAAGGCAATGAGTTATACTTGTGTTCGGTCAAGAACTTGAAGACAAAAGGAGAGGTAGCTCAATCTGTACCCGTAGTCCGTGAATTTCTTGATGTATTTCCCGAGGAAATACCGGGTATGCCTCCTACTAGGGAAGTGGAGTTCTCAGTGGACCTTATGCCAGGCACGGCACCCATTTCTAAGGCCCCATATTGTTTGGCTACGCCAGAAATGCAAGAGTTGAAGACCCAATTGCAAGAACTCCTTGATAAGGGTTATATCCGGCCAAGTACATCGCCATGGGGAGCTCCGATTTTGTTTGTAAAGAAGAAGGACGGAAGCATGAGGTTCTGTATCGACTACCGGGAGATGAACCAAGTTACCATCAAGAACAAATACCCCCTCCCAAGGATCGACGACTTGTTTGACAAACTCCGCGGTGCAGGAGTGTTTTCCAAAGTTGACTTGAGGTCAGGGTACCATCAGATAAAGGTAGCAGACAAGGACATTCCTAAGACTGCGTTTCGGACTCGGTACGGTCACTACGAGTTTACAGTTATGCCGTTGTTGACTAACGCCCCTGCAGTTTTTATGGACTTGATGAACAGGGTGTTCAAACCCCACCTCGATGATTTTGTGATCGTGTTCATCGACGATATTTTGGTCTATTCGAAGGATAAGAGGGAGCATGTTGGACATCTTCGGACGGTACTTCAGATCTTGAGGGAGAAGCAGTTATACGCCAAGCTCTCTAAGTGTGAGTTTTGGAAAGACAGTGTGACGTTTCTAGGCCACGTGACTGATAATAGGGGGATTTCGGTGGATCCAGACAAGATACGGGCAGTGAAAGATTGGACTGTACCTTCATCGGTGGCGGAAGTAAGAAGTTTTCTTGGTTTAGCGGGTTATTATCGAAGGTTTGTTTTGGATTTCGCCAAGGTGGCTCAACCTTTGACTAAGTTATTAAGGAAAGAAGTGCCTTTCGTTTGGGATCAAGCTTGTGAGTTAGCATTTCGAGATGTGAAGGAGAGGCTCACATCTGCACCAGTCTTAATATTGCCATCAGGAACGGAAGGGTTTGAGGTATACAGTGATGCGTCCATGAAAGGACTAGGTTGTGTGTTGATGCAAAATGGGAGAGTGATTGCATACGCCTCGTGTCAGCTGAAAGTTCACGAAGAGAATTACCCTACACACGATTTGGAATTGGCTGCCGTAGTGTTTGCTTTGAAAATTTGGAGACATTATCTATATGGGGTGCGTTGCAAGATCTTCACAGATCACAAGAGTCTCAAATATATCTTCACACAAAAGGATCTCAACATGCCACAACGAAGGTGGTTAGAGCTCACCAAGGACTACGAGTTAGATATTCAGTATCACGAAGGAAAAGCTAACGTGGTGGCGGACGCCTTAAGTCGGAAATCGAAGCATACCGCTAGTTCTATTTGGGTAGTGGCGGATGAGCTTTGTAAGGAGCTCCAACGGATGAACTTGGAAGTGGTGGAACAGGGAGATGTGGAGGCAGAAGTTCGTTGCTATAACTTAAGGATTGTACCTACATTTCTGGGAGAAATTAAGGAAGAGCAGCAAAAGGATGCATATTGGACAAAGGTAAGGGATGACCTAGCTAAAGGGAAAGGGGGACCGTTTGAGTTATCTACGGATGGGGTGTTGAGGTACAAAGGTCGTGTAAGCATACCCGCGTCATGTGATCAGTGGAAGCGACAGATTTTGGAAGAGGGTCATAACACACCCTATTCGGTCCACCCCGGAGGAGACAAGTTATACAAAGACGTGAAGGGCTTCTTCTGGTGGCCTAATATGAAGAAGGAAGTTGCAGTTTGTTGGGAAATGCCTTAACTGTCAGATGATAAAAGCGGAACGTTGTAAAGTAAAGGGGTTGGTACAACCATTAGAAGTTCCACAAGGAAAATGGGATTCTATATCCATGGATTTTGTGGGAGGTCTGCCGACAACCCGTTCGGGTAAGGACAAAATCTGGGTGATAGTTGATCGTTTGACTAAGACTGCCCGCTTTATCGCAATGAAGGAGACCTGGACAATGACACAGTTGGCTCAAGCTTATGTCAACCAAGTGGTAAAGTATCATGGAGTTCCGAGGGATATTGTCTCCGATAGGGATCCAAGGTTCTTGTCTCAATTTTGGAAATCCTTGCAAGCAGCTCTTGGAACTAAGTTAAGCCTCAGTACTGCTTTCCACCCAGCCACCGATGGGCAAACAGAAAGGACTATCCAGACTATCGAAGATATGTTGAGAGCTTGTATGTTAGATTTTCAAGGGTCTTGGGAGGACCATTTGGATTTGATCGAGTTTTCTTACAACAATAGCTATCATTCGAGCATTCGCATGGCACCCTATGAAGCTCTCTATGGACAGAAGTGTCGCAGCCCACTATGTTGGGAGGATCTTGTCAATCCGATAGTGCTGGGACCTCAGTATTTGCTTGACACATCCGAGAAAGTTAAACAGATTCAAGAAGGGATGAAAGCGGCTCAAAATCGCCAAAAGTCCTATGCTGATTTGGTTAGAAGACAAGTGGAGTTCTTGGTTGGGGATAAAGTTTGGTTGAAAGAGTCTCCTACCCGGGGAGTAATGCGGTTTGGAAAGAAAGGGAAGTTGAACCCTAGGTTTATAGGCCCGTATGAAATCCTGGAGAGGGTTGGGAGTTTGGCTTACCGTTTGGCATTACCTATGGAGTTGGAAAGGGTGCATAACGTGTTCCACGTATCACAGCTCAAAAGATATGTTCACGACCCGGCTCATGTTTTACCACCAGAAGTAATACGAATAGATGAAGATTTGTCTTACGAAGAAAGGCCGCTCGGAATTTTGGACTTTAAGACTCGGGACACTCGTAGGAAATCTGTTAAGATGGTAAAGGTTTGGTGGACACATCATGGGGTTGAGGAAGCTACTTGGGAGTTGGAGTCATCGATGCGGGAGCGATACCTTGAGTTGTTTGTAGAAGGTACCTCGTTTTCCTCGTTTGTTGCTTGCCTTGTGTGCTTGCTTGTTTTTGCTTGTTGCCTTGTTGTTTAGCTAGCTTGAAAGTTGGTGTTTGGAGTTTGTAGTCTAGTTCATGGTTGTTTTCAAGAAGTTGGTGGTTGTGTTGAGGCTAGAGTTCTTGATGCTCAATCTATCCGTTTGTTAACCTCTTGCCAATCTTTGAATTTGAAATGCCTTCTTTCTTGCTTTGGAGAAACTTCTTTGCTTTGGAATCCTTGTGAGTTCTTTTGGAGTCTTTGACCAAAAGAGTTGTTCTTGAACTTCTTGTCACAATGTCGTTTTCTTTCACCGTTTGCTTTAATTCGGCGTACCTAAGCTTCAGGGACGAAGCTTCTTTGAAGGGGGAGAGGATGTGACACCCCAAAAATCCACATTCAATCCATGGATTAATTGAGTAATTAATCCTATTTGATTTGAAGAATTAATTCCTAAAATCCTGATTTTTAATACTCAAGGACTAGAATTTGACTAGTCAACCTTAAAGTTGTGTTGTACTTTGAGCTTTGAGGGGAGTTCCCTTGTTCCTTACACTTTCTAAGGGTTAGTAAGGGTATTCTTGTCTTTTCACTAAGATTTAGTATTGTAAGCTAACCTAGAAGACTACTTCATTTCATTCCCTACAATTCTTAGAAATTAGTTCTACATTCTCTCTAGAAAAGAAGTGTAGCTTATTCTCAAAGCCAAATTGAGACCCTTGTCAAGATTCCAAGATTTGCTTCCAAGATTCAACCTTTCACCTATTTGGGCATCTAGGAGGGTAAGATCTAAGTTCATCTTGTGTTTTTGGTTCCATCTTAGTTGTCTTTTTCTTAAAGGTAGGATCTTTATGATCTTTTGGTTTAATCTTGAAGTGGGTTTGGAAAGTAAGCCTTGTGGAGAGCTTGTTGTGGTGTAAAGTGAAGTCTTTTGTTCTACAAGAGGTAACCCATGCTCTACAAAACCTATTTTGCTTACCTATATGTGATTTCTTGGATTCTACATGTGTTTTGCTATGAAATGTGAGGGTTTATGCATTTGTCTTGTGATATTGCATATCTAGAGCTTGTGTTTAGGGTTCCTTTGTGCCATTTCTTGGTATTTTCCATGATTCAAGTCATTTTGTTGTATTGGGTGAGATTTGGCATGTTTTGGACTTGAATTTGTGTTTGGAGAAGAAAATCCCCGAAGGGATCTTTTTGCACAGGAGTATGTACCCGCGGGCGGAACAGCGGGGAGAGCCCTATCCGCCGCCCAACCGCAGGAAAAAAGGCTTGTGGGTAGTATACCCGCGGGCGGAACCACGGGTAGGGGCCTACCCGTGGGTCCACTCATGGGGAACACAATGGTGTTGAGATGGGATTTGTTCCCCGTGATTTGTTTGACTCGGTATTTGGTCTTTTGACTTCCCGATGTTCTTTTGTGGAACTATTTAAGTGTCTTCTTGATGTTTCGTATGTCTAGAACTATATGGTAGGTATCCATGAAGGACTTTGGTGTCTTGAATCGTGCTAAGTGTTCAACATTGTGTTTCGTTGGACCAAGAGGTGTCTTGTGTGTTCCTCGGAACTAACTTGAGTTTCCTCATTGAGAAGCATGCTAGTTTGTTGTCTAAATGCTAGCGTGTGTGTGGTTTGTACCTTCCGTTTGGTTGATGATAACTTGTGTTATCCATCGTTGTTGTTGTTGGGCTGTGACCCGTTCCTTGATTGAGTATGTTTCATACCTTCGTTGTGATCCGTTGTTTGACTCTTGTTGAGTTGTGGTGCGTGTGTGGCTTTACCTGGATTGCACGATTAGTGGTATGGGACACTAGTCACCAAGGTATTGCAGCGGTCCTCGTGGTGGCCGTGACGTGAACATGGAGTTGTGGCCTGAGTGATGGGTCCACGTTTTTGGGGGATAACATCTGTTATCCGGGCATGTGTTGCCGTGAATTGGTGGTCTCGTTGGTGGTCGTTGGTGGGGGACGACGGCCCCGGGGGAATAAGGTTAGACTAAGAAGTACAGGGGTCCTGGAGGTAATGGTTGGAAAGAAGATACAAGGTTGGGGTTAGCCATAAGGTTGGAACCGGGCATAAGGAAGGCATACCAACTCGTGATGGGTGATGTTGCGAGGGCTTGTAAAGCCGGCGTTGTGTGTTCTTCTCTCGTGACGTGTGTACTCACAGAGGTATGTGTTGCTTTGGCATGTGTTGCCGTTGGGTGAGTCTTTATCCTTTGCGTGTGGTTAACCTTTGTGGTTTGGGATGTGTTCCCGTGTTATCTTTGAGAGTGATGAGTCCTGTGTTGACTGTTGATCTTGGTTTTGACTTATATAAACATATATATATATATATATATATATATATGTATATATATTTCATTTCGAAAATGGTTTTTATGACTTATATCTATCTACATATGATACTTAATGGTATTGGTGGGTTACCAGCATTATTCGCTAACCTGGCGTCGTCCCAATGTTTATCTTTGTATCTTTCAGGTGATGTTTAGACGAGCGCGATGTCTAGTGCCTGGTAACTTAGTGCCCTCATCCCTGTTTTGTGGCCGTTGTGCCCATGTAGTTGTACACTAATGTTTTGGGATAGATGTATACACTTGCAGATTGTTTGACGTAGCGTTTACCGTGTTTGGTAGACGTGGCGTGACACCCCGTTCGGATTCCTTTTATCCAGTTTCCGTTTTATCTTCCGCTGTGCTAGTTATGTTGTTTAATCTGCATGTGTTAAGGCTTTTATATAGGTCTTGTTTGGGGGGTGTTACAGAATCTCTTATTGTAAGCCTTCTTTCCCCTAAGTTACCTTTCTCCTTTGCTACTGTTCCTGCTTTGGACCTCTCATCCGAACTGAAGCTTTGAAGTTTTCAAACGTTTCCTTGCTGTGAGTCGTGGTTGTGTGTTAATGCAAGTGTTAAATTGGCAGCCTGCATCAAGTTAGCTCAAGAGTCAAGGAGAAGATCACCCTGCTCGTGTTTCGAATCTGACAGATGTAGCCTTGTCTGGAAGTGACGGATCAAGTTTAAGTGATGTCGATCTCAAGTGGTGTAGTGCGAGTACCTTGCTTCCTTGGTTGAAGAAGTCAGCGGAGAACAGTTGAAGACGCCATCCTGGTTCTTTGATCTCGAGTGATCTAGCTTAGGGTTCTTGTGGTGCCAGTTTTTAGTTGTAGCTTGTTCCTTAGTTGGGACGTTAGATTTGGGTAGGTCATTGGATAGTTTTAAGCAGGGAGCTAAGTTTAAGGTAGAGTTAGTTTCCTTTTCCGGTAAATCTTCTATCTATCACCTTATCTTCTGTCTTGCCTTACCTTTGTGAAATCTCAGCTTATTCCTAAGCCTTGTCATTCGTTTTGATAACCGTTTTTGTGTTGAAATTCGTTGTGTCGAAGCCTATCAATCTTACCACCTTATTTTGAACCCTTGGTTCCTCTAACTTTGATTAGTGGCGAACACCTTTATTGCTAAAACCTCATTTGCAACCTATCTCTTAAGCTTTGTCACTTGTTTCGCAAGCCGACCGTTTTGTTGTTGAACCCCGTTGCCTCCCTTGCTCGCCTTGGTTGTCGGCTCATTGGTAGTTGATTGCTTAGTTGTTGTTTGTTGGCTGTGCTTAGTTGTTTTCTCTTGTTTGGCTTGGTGATTAGTTTGTTGTTTGGGTAGTTGGTTTCGTTGTTTTGCTTTGTTAGAATCTAGTTGTTTTGAGTTTAGGTGGGTCGTTATCTTGGCCTTAGCGTTGTATTGATCAAGGAATTCCTCTTGTGATCTTTGAAATCTTGCAAAGTTTTGACTTCTTGACAATTTTGTACCTTGGTGGTTGTGTGGTTGAAATGAATGGTACCCTCGTGTACTATGAAATCGGTGGTTGATGATTTGGTGGTTGTAGGTGGGGAACGACTGTAACACCCCGTGTTACGGCCCCTAAAACCATTTAATTAATCAATCAATAGCCCAAGAGAAGGAATAAATCATAATGATTAATTAGGGAAAAAGGCCCACCATAGTCCATGGGCCCTCGTATATAAACCCAACCCCTAAACCCAATCCTTAGTTCCAAAAGGAATAGAATTAGCGAGCCTATAATATTAGTTCCTAATTAGGACTCCTAAATATATAAATAGGGGACTTAGGAGGCACCTAGAACTTCCCACAAAAATAACGCCCCACCACCCCAAAAGAGCTCCTAGAATCCCCTTAGGAGAAATCAAGAAAGCAAGGAACCTTAAAGAAAGATCCTTCATAGCCAAGGAATTAATTAAGGCTAAGAGGTAACCCATGTCTCAACAAAACCTATTTTCATAGCTATGATTCCCCCTTAGGGTTTCCCCCATATTATTGTGATTGGCGAGATATGATGATAATTATTGATGTTTGATGTGATGATCCCATGAGGGATCTTGATAATCTTGATATTGGGAGATTCTTGATGATTATGGAATTCTTGATGATTATATAGAGTTCTTGATGATTATGTGTTGTTCTTGATAATTGTGTGATGCTCTTGATGTTTATGTGTTATTATTACCGAATCTTGTAATTAGAAGACGAACCGTATACTTGTTGATATAAAAGTGATTAGAACCCTAGGTTGTATCGTATGATCTTATTCTTGGATTATCGGGAGGGGAAATCGCATGTTTGGGTGTTGATTATGTTTAGAAAAGCATGATAGGTTATGTGCCGTTCGTTTCTCGTATTTGATCCGTTAAATTGTCTACGAGTTGTCGTTAATTGCGTTGAAAAGTGTCTAAGCATGGTTTCGGGTTCCACAACGGTTCCCGGGGCAAAAAGTGATGAAAAGAGTCAGTGGGGGGTAGGTGGGGGGTAGGTGGGGGGGTAGGGGACCCGCCACCTACCCATGGCCGTAAAACACCGCCCGGCAGCGGGTGGCCGGCGGGCGGGCAGCTGCCCGCCGGCGACCCGCTGCCCGGAACAGTAGAATCCGGCGGGCAGCCGGCGGGTGGCCCCCACCCACCGGCTACCCGCTGGAAAATTGTCCCACCCGGGACCCCGGCTTCCCCGTTTGATGTTCCCCGTTCCCCGTGGAGTCCCAACGGACTCCGTTTATCGTGCCTATGTCTAGTTTGATGTTTCGGGTACCGTTCGTAGGTTTATGAGTCTATTATATTGCATGCTAGTTGAATTGGTATCCCGTTGACCTAGGTGGAAGAAGTATGAACCCCTTAGGACTATTCTTAGTAAGTGATGGATCACGCATAGGTTTTGTTATACGTTTTCTCCCCCTTCCTAATGTGTAATGTGGGTTGCATGTGCTTGCTATGTGTTATGTGTGTGCTACCCCAATTCGGTTGCGATCGGATTGGTTATCCTGAGCTGCGGTTCAGATGCTGGCTGCGGTCAGATTGATACTCTTGGGCTGCGGTCCACCGTTTGGTTGCGATCAAACGTTTCTATACGAGCTGCGGTTCGTCCTTTTTCCTGGCTGCGGTCAGATGACACTCTCTTGGGCTGCGGTCCACTGTTTGGTTGCGATCAAACACTATGATGAGCTGCGGTTCATCGGTCGGTTGCGATCGACCCCTCCGTGTTGCGATACGGGGCAGGGTGCTGCGGGCCGTGTCAGAGCTATATGCGCTGACCCTCATGTATGGGCATGCGATTGGTCCTGTGGCGCCAACAAAGTGTGCTATGTGTTGTGACAGGGACGAGTTGTGATTACGAGTATCTTGGGGGATGTGACTATGGGATTTATATTGGGGATTGTTCATGTTGGGTTGTGATCACTGTTTATGCTTTGCCTTATCTGCCTTATCTGTTGTGAACTGCATATGCTCGTTATAACTGTGCTTGTGTCTGGCCTTATCTGTCGAGTCATTCCCGGTTTTAAAGCTAGTGTTCGTAGGGTATATCTTCATGCTCAAAATGGTTTTCGTATATCTATATATATCTCTATATGTATTGTATTTCAACGCGTTGGAGTGGGTTACCAGCATCTCTCGCTGAACAGATATATTTGGCTTTCAGGCACAGAGGACTAGAGCACTGGAGCGCGCTAGAACTGGAGCGTAGAAGTAGAGTAGTTTCCCTTTCGGCCTGCGTGCCATATTATGCATTGTGTTTCAATGGATATTAGTTAGACAGCCTGTGCACCTGGGTTCTCTAGCCCAGGTGTGGCATAGCACCCCGTACACTTATGATATACTTTGGGATGTAATGAGATATTACCTTTATTATTATAAGTTTTAAAATGTCTTGAAAATCTGGGGTGTTACAACGACGGTTCCCAGAGGCATAAGGTTGGACTCAGAAGTACAAGGGTTCTCGGAGGTAATGGTTGGAACTGTAATAAGGCCGAGGGTAGGCATAAGGTTGGAACAGAGCATAAGGTTGGAACTTTTCAATGTGTGGATGTTTATCCTTATCTATTGAGCATGTCGAGTGGTATTCTACTTTGTGATCAGTAGAATACACCTCGAGTTGTACTTGTTGTTGTTGTTGTTGTCTTTGCCTTGATGTTTTCTGCTTTGTGATCAGTAGATTACATCTTGAGCAGTGTTGAGTTGTTCTATTGTTGTTCTTGTCTTGATGTTGTCTTGGGATGTGATTCCCTTGTTCTTTTGAGAGTAAAATAGAGTCTTTGCAGTTGACTTCTCTCTTTACGGTTTAAAACTGATATATACTGTATTCCGTTTCGAAAATGATTTTGTATTAAACTATCTATATATGCTATTGAACGCGTAATGATGGGTTACTAGCAATATTCGCTGACCAGGCGTCGTCCCCTTTCTTTATGTGCTTTACAGGTCCTGAGTAGATGGCGAGAGCGTTAGACGTGGATAGTTTAGATCCCTTGAACAGTTTAGTTTGTGTTTTGGCCTGTGTGCCACTGATGTTAGACATTAGATTGATGGTTTTAGTTTTTGCCTGTGCGTTCACGTTGGAGTGAACTGTGAACATGGACTGACACTCCTTGATTTTCCGGTTTTATGATTAGACTTCCGCTGTATTTATGTTTTATGTTATCTTTTGGTTAGTTTGCCTTTGCATATTTAAGCTTTAAATTACCATGTTCTACCGTACAAATTACCATAAATACTAACAACCATGACATTCACGTAGGCTGCGCTATTTGAATAGTAAACACCGTACCATGTTTTATCAATACAATTTATGGTCGTAAAATTTGAAGAATAGTGGTAAAACAAATAAGCTAAGGTCTAGAAGAAGTGAAGGTTTGGCGTGTGCGGATGCATAGGGAGAAGCGTGGAAGAAGTATATATGCATATATGGGTGATGGAGGCCGGACGTTAGAATGAAGGCAAATTATATTCTCATCATCGTGAATATTATGAGTAAAAATAATATTTTTATAATAATGTACATTACGTTTTAGAATAATTTGTTTTATGTTTTAAAATGATATGCATTATAAGTTATAAAAATGTAAATTATAGTTAGACGCTCAAAAAAATAAAATTAAACAAAACGATATCGTTTTTGGAGCACACAATAATTAATATTGAATGAATGATCGGATTGAAGATGGAATTGATCTGACGTGGTACGTACTACAACATTCTGGAGCAGGAGAGATGGATCATGGATGTTCGATCAGGCCAACACGACGACACCTCAGCTCGGGCAAGTGATGACTTGTCATGTGCACAGTGGTCGAGGAGTTTAGTCTCCGGTGAGGCATGTTAGCACGTGGAACCACCCCGCCATGATGTGTCGTGGAGTGAAGAGTCCGACCAATCCCATTGCTTTAGCATACTTAGATCATATGACTTTGTTTTCTCAGGAAATGATGTTTTGTATTTGTCGGATCCCCGGTTAGTTGATGCGTGATACCTCTTTCCTCATTTCACACTAAACCAAAACAGGCAACTTAATTTCCATTCCTGTCTTTTACTCTTCGTACCTTTGCTGCATATGGGGATCTGTACGACTTCCATGGCCCCAATCCCATCTCATCTACCACCACCTTTCATTACTTTGTCTCGCCATTTTCATATGCTCGCACTTCATGCTTTTCAATTATTCGATCATTACCGCCCTTTTTTTTTCTTTTTTTCCTTTGATATGATCTTATTTTTGGTATACTGTACTAACATGACAAAAGAGAAAAAGTTGTTCCAAATCCACTTTATATGGTGCCAATGAATCAATGATATCACTCATTCAAGGACTACATACCAACAACAATATAATTGATTAAAAAAATATATCAGTTAGTTCACATGTCCAGATCGATTAGAAATACAGGAGATCAATTTGAATGGGTAAGATAAAAGTTAAATTACTATTATCTTAACTATTTGAAACTTTGTTTCTTCTAAATTAAACTTAAGTTCGCCAAACACCTTGTATTTATATGGCATTTCTTCTCATTAAAAAAACGTTATAGGATCGAACTTCGTTGGTGGGGCATTAAGATAGAGAAAGTGCCTTGAAATGGATGAGAATATATTTTCTGTGTTAGATCTAGTCTTTTTTTTTTTTGAACGTCAAATAGAGATCTAGTCTAATACTACTAATATAATAAAGATCTAGTCTAATACTACTAGTAGAGTCCTAATACTCCCCCTCAAGCACAAGGTGGTCAGCGAAAACATTGAGCTTGCAACGGAGTAAATTAAAACGCACAGACGAAAGAGACTTAGTAAAAATATCTGCTATCTTATCTTTGGTAGAAATAAAATTGACTTGTAATTCCTTCTTTGCGACTTTATCACGAACAAAGTGGTAGTCGATCTCAATGTGCTTGGTGCGAGCATGAAACACCGGATTAGCACACAGATAAGTAGCTCCCAGATTGTCACACCAGAGTTTTGGCACAGAAGGTGGCGCAAACCCGATTTCTTTCATCAGAGAGACGAACCAAGTAACCTCTGCAGAGACATCAGCCAGTCCTTTGTATTCATCCTCAATTGATGAACGAGCCACAGTACGCTGTTTTCGACAAACTCACGAGACAAGATTGGTCCCCAAAAACACAGCAAAACCACTAGTAGATTTGCGATCATCGGGATTGCCAGCCCAATCCGAATCAGAATATGCATGAATATCCAGAGAAGGAGAAGAAGCAATCTTAAGACCAAGATGTAGTGTCGCATTTACATACCGTAACACCCTCTTGAGAGCCGCCCAATCCGCAGTAGAGGGAGAGTGCATGTGCTGACACAAACGATTGACTGCATAGGAAAGATCATGCCGAGTTACCGTAAGATATTGCAGAGCACCTGCAAAGCTGCGATACTGAGTGGGATCAGCGTACGGTACCATGGCATCAGTCTCGGCCTTCGTGGTTGAAATCGGAGTGGCCACGGGCTTGCAATCAACCATACCTGCTCGTTTTAGAATATCCTTCATGTACCGTTGTTGAGACAGTAACATGCCATCAGACAACGGAACGGTCTCAATACCCAGAAAAAACGAGGGCACACCCATGTCACGAACTTTAAACTCAAGAGCAAACTTGTCAATAAGAGCAGTCACATGAGGCGAATCAGAATCCATAACCAAAATATCATCCACATAAATCAGAAAATATAGACGAGTATTGCCATGTGAATATATAAATAAAGAGACATCCGTCTTGGAAGGTGAGAAACCAACAGAAACCAGAAAATCATGCAAATGAGTGAACCAAGCACCGGGAGCTTGCTTAAGCCCATATAAAGAACGTTGAAGGAGACAAACGTGCCCGGGCAGCGTTTTGTCTTCATAGCCAGGGGGCTGGCGCATATAAACTGTCTCAGCGAGATTGCCATTTAAGAAAGCATTGTGTATGTCCAATTGTCGAATAGCCCATCCACGAGAAATAGCTAAGGATAAAAGAAGACGTACCGTAGTCGGTTTAACCACGAGACTAAAGGTCTCAAAGAAATCCTCACCAGCAACCTGATTGAATCCCTTGGCAACCAAACGAGTCTTGTAACGCTCAATCGAACAATCAGTTTTCCACTTGGTTCTAAACACCCATTTACAGCCAACCACATTCATACCTGATTTAAAAGGAACAAGCAGACATGTATTGTTGTGCACCAAGGCATTAAATTCCAAATCCATTGCATCCCGCCATTCGGGAAATTTGACCGCTTGAGTAAAACATGTAGGCTCAGTAGTGACGTCAGTAGATAGAGCAACATGGTCATGCAGCCCCGAGCTCCGCGTATTCATCGTATGAGACCGAACGGGGTCGGGCGCGGGACGGGATCAACCACGGGGTCGGCCCCTTGGCCGAGCAGGCAGCTGGTCCGTGACTGTCCGCTCGGACTCGGTCACGGACGGCTCGGTAGAGACGGGCTGCTGGTGGTGTGGCTCGGGTCTAGTTACGGGCACGGCAGGAGGATCAAAGGCCGAGGCAGCACTCGGCTCACCAGGAGACACAACCTGCACAACACCCCATGGCTCCGGGCATGGTGCGGGTACCTGTGAATCAACAGAAGCAACAAAAGGAAAGACAGTCTCATCGAATCGCACATGGCGATAGATAAAAACCTTGTTAGTGTTAGTGTCTAAACAACGATAGCCACGAAAAGACGGAGGATATCCTAGAAAGACACAAGGAGACGAGCGAAACTGCAGTTTGTTACGATTATAGGGCCGCAGATTAGGAAAACACAGACACCCAAAAACCCATAAGTATGAGTAAGAGGGCGAAAACCGATGCAAGAGGTAGTGAGGAGACTTATCAGCCAAGACACGAGTGGAAATTTTATTGATAAGATACACAGCAGTTTCGAAGGCATAATCCCAGAAATGAGACGGAACTGAGGATTGGGCCATTAGCGTCAGTCCTGTTTCGACAACATGGCGATGCTTGCGTTCTACTCTGCCGTTTTGTTCATGAGTATACGCACAGGACTGCATGTGACGAATACCCAATGACGCGAGAGTCGAACCAAGCTTTTTGTATTCTCCCCCTAAATCAGACTGAAAAGGCAGAATTTTACGAGACAAGGAACGTTCAACAAGTGACCGAAACTTATCAAATATCGCATATAAATCAGACTTAGCTTGCATAGGATAATACCACACATAACGAGTGTAATCATCCACAAATAATACAAAATATTTAAAGTCATTTGCAGAAAGTATCCACGCATGCCCCAAATATCTGAATATATTAATTCTAAAGGATGCGAACTAGTACATTCAACACGCGATAAAGGAAAACGAGACGACTTGCCTAATTACCAAGAGGAACAAATATTGGGCAGATCACTGGAATTAAACGAACTAAGACTAGAAGATGCTAAAACTTGACGCAAGACCCGAGAGTGTGGATGCCCAAGCCGCATATGCCAAACGA